TCGACAAATATTTTCTGAAAAACAGTTATTTTAGACAAGCACAAGGTAGAAAAACAAATCAGAAATAGAAGAATAAACTAAAATAAAGATTGCTTCTGACAGGTTTGATATTTTGTCTGAGAATCCATCGTCTTTAGTTTTGAAGCAACAAGGCAAACGATTAGAGGTTACATTTAAATTTGTAACTGTGACTACAAGAAATGGGACACAAATTGTCAAACTAAAGTAGGTGACGCGGTGTTTAATAGTACTTCATGTCAAGTACACATTCGGCTTCAAGCATGTGTGGTGTAACTTAAGCTCAGGACTCTAAATCAGTCATTGATCTTAAGTATCCAGTGCTCTCAGACTGTGTAAAAGCACTGGATTCAGTCCGTTCACCCGAGATTCACGTGTTCGAGTCTTCCATAGAGTCGCGAAGCTTTTCAGTGACATACCATACCCAGTGCACCCCAAAAATGGTGAAAATATGGGGGTGACTGCAGTCAAGCTAATACAAGGAATTCTCCAGAGAAATTTGACTAAAAAGCTCAACAAAATGGGAAAGCAGAAAAACTTGCACAAAACAACACAACGTTACGTTACACAAGCCATTACGGTGTGTTGTTTTGTGCACGTTTTTCTGCTTTCCCGTAACACTGAAAACTTGCATACGCCTTTTCTATATGACACTGAGCCAGTCCAATGCTTTTCTGGGCGGAAATATCGTCACGTTCTACAGGCATCCCCAAAATGGGAGCTTTAGGTTATAAATGTGACTAGATTATCTGCGCCATATAAAATGGCTTATCACTGCAAACCACCTGGAGCCCTGAGCAGGACTCCTGCAATGTTGTATCGATCAAAAGAGGATAGACACAAATACCGTCCTGAACATAAACTAAGTCATCTACCGGCAAGCCAGTGGGTGTCCCCGTCGCCGATGAGTGATACTGAGCAACTGAGATCTGTCTTATGTATATGACAGTTAGCAACTGCCATCTCCGTTTTTTATGTAACACTGATTCCTATACCGAATCCATGACTCCTGGAGAATCAGATCAAGGGCGTAAAAACCTCACCACGGAGACCTCTGTCTTTCTGTCTGGCAGTCTCAAAGCAGCAATGTCTGTCTGTTCCTCGAATTGTCTTCCTTACTGCACATATGTTCACATTTATATTTCGTGTAAGCGTAATTTGTGTCTGTAGCTTAGGCGCTGCGAACTCGTTTTGCAATGCCGTGGGGCCGAGTTCGATCTTAGCTGCAGGCAATTTGGCAGCAGAACGCCTTGTGTTGACTTCGACAGCGGATTGAGAGCCGGCGGTTTAGAAAGTAATGACAAACTAAGGTAAGTTGCGTAACCTTTACAGGACGTTGCAGAACCAACCCCAACAGCCCCTGGCTGTTGTGTGGTTTTTCTTGACAAATTTACGTCCAGTAGTTAATGACAAACTACTGAAATTAAATTTGTCTAGAAAAACAACAAAAACAACACAGAATGCTGTGGTTGGTTCTGCAACGTCCTGGAAGTACGCGAAACTAATTTTATTGCACTATTTTTTTTATTGATTTCGAGAAAGAATTTTATAAAGTATCTTAAATATGTTTGCATTCGAGTTCTGTTTATTCCAACCAGGTGCTGGGTAAAAAGTCTGGGACACTTGGAGTGGATACTGTACGCCCCGAATCTGGGAAGCTTGGTGGTAAGTCAACAACTTCAAATTTCAAGTCGTAGAGTGAAGAGTTTGTAAGCTGCAATGGGGTTTCTTAGCAAAAGGTAATGGTCGACTTTTGGTGCAGGAGAAGATATAAAACCGAACGAAAAGTATATCAGCAAGTTTCACAATATAACAAACACAAACATCAGCACCTGGCACATTTGTCCACAAGCCCCTAGTTCACATAAACGTCTATGATGCTCTGAATCTTAACGCACAACAGAAATACGCGATATACGCATGCTAGCGAGTTGAGTTCTTAGAACTGATTTTAAGTTTCTTCTTTTGTCTTTTAAAGTAAGTAACAAGGAAAGATCCCTTTTCACGCCTTTAGGCGCATCGGGAATATGGGAAGTGTGCCTATATTTTTACAAACCAATCGGCATTAGGTGTGTAATGTAGTCAGCATTAAGCCGTCTGTCTTAACTTCCCCAGGACATATATCCTGGTACCCATTTTAGGCTGGGTCGACCTGCGACGCCCTAAACCATGATAAAAATCCACACAGCCAGCAGTGGGTTTCAATCAAGGTACGTTGGAATTACGAATCAAACTCGCAACGCTAAGCGTCTGTCTGTTATCACCTATAAACTTGCATAAAACATTCATATTGAATTTTAAATGTATTACAGTATCTTAGGGCAGCCGCTATGGTTTAACGGCTAGACGTTCGCGCAGATCCGAAGGTCGTAGGTTCAAATATCACATGGCAACGGATTTTAATTTGTCATATTTGACCTTGACTGCCAGGGCGATCCAGCTTGAAATGGGTACCTGGTCAAGTCCTGGAGCGTAAAAGCGGCTGACAAGATGTTGGTCACAACACCCATCGATTGGTCTATAAAAACATATGAGTTTAACCTCATATGGCCAATGTGCCACTGGGATGTAAAGGAAACTTTACTATTATAGTCTTTTAGTTCATATGAAACATAGATAGATAATATGTATATTGCAAATGCTATTCAGATACTTATAGCATCATTCACGAATCATAAACACTTATAACTTTAACAATTAATCTGCCGGTGTTCGGTTTTGAATATAAATACGTTGCTTTGGTTGGACCAGACCAAATGATTTCATTGGTCGGACATTCTCTATACCTGATTTGTATACTTTCTCATTTGCATTATTTTTGTTGTTTTTGTTTTTGTTTTCAACTGTTATAGCATGTTGCCAATAATAGCAGCACACAGGCAGACCTCCATACATGAAAGCAAGAAGGACGCCGTAACTTAGCGTTTTAGGCACATTCAGACCTCCGACCACCCTCCTCTAAATTATACCCGGGGGAGGGGTGGGGGTGCGGTGGAAGGTGGAAGGTCTCAGACTCCAAATTATTATGAGGCTAAGATCCCCCTCCCTCTAAACCATAAATAGAAGCTCTCTTTTTATGTTTTCGTTTATGCATACATTATTTTTTTTAATCGTATTATATCTATTTTTCATTTAGCACATCATCATCATCATCATTATCCTCATTCTAATCATCATCATCCTCATCATCATCATTCCAAAAGGCTTAGACCCTTGAGGCTCCTCTCCACGCCCCCTCCCTTCCTCCGAAATCGTGTAATGGGATGGAGCTCACACTTCCAGTAGTTTTCTTTGTGTCTGTGCCCCTAAATGCGTCATACACGAGTACTTGAATAGATACATACATATAATTAGTGCTGAGATTCCAGGTCTCACAATAGATGGTAGAAACGTCAACGGATAGAGCAAACTGAAGTATTTGGAAATCACATTTTACAGTGGACTGTACATTAAGGTCCGTGTGGAGATAGTTGTGATAGGATTCCAAAAAAGGACTCAGTGCACTTAAGACTATGGCTTCACTGGACTAGAGCAGTGAATACTTTTTACACTACACCAGCACCTGATCCTCTCAGTGACTGATTACGGTCTAAGACTGCTTACTGTCTCAAAGAGTCATATGGATAAACTAGAGCGCATACAGAACGCAGCTATGTGGGTCATTCTGGGTTGTACCAGAGACACCTAAGTGGTATGTGTGCGGTACATCCTTCGTTTTCCGACTGTTGCAGGTAGACACAAGATGCTGCAGGCGAACTCATATCTCAAAGAAGTTGCATATACAGACCACTATTTGCACATAGCTCTGGGCACAGTAGCAACATTTTGTGTGTGTGTGTTTTTTTTTTTTTTTTGGGGGGGGGGGGGGCACAAGAGCGGAGCACCTATGGGGTGACCCGTTTGAGATGAAGCTGAAATTAGGATTATCAGATTACCAGAAGCGTCATCGGCTGACAAGAGGGAAGTCATGGATCGCTCAGACAGAAGACTCAATCGGAGGGTTTGCATTCCAGAGATCATTAGGCGAGGAGAGGAGTGGGTCAAGGTTCCAGCTGAACAGTCAGATTTGTGTAGAGTCATAATCACATTGAGCCAGAAACGCAGAAAATGGCCAGCAGGTGCCACGGAGGTGGGAATTCAGCAGTTAATTTAAAATAATGCTCGCTCAGTGGATGTGATTTTACAGACGGTTCACTGTCAACCGGCAAAATAGGTGTTTGGGGTTTCTTAGCAAAAGTTAGTGGTCGACTTTTGGTGCAGGAGAAGATATAAAACCGAACGAAAAGTATATCAGCAAGTTTCACAATATAACAAAAACAAACAAAACGTGGCAATAGAGCCTTCATCAGCATATACATAAATCAAACCATACCACACAAATACACAAAATCACTTAGCTTAGTATCTCGAAGCAGCCAGGTCAATGTCTTGTCAATAGACTGATGAGACACATGGGACAGAATACAAACACCCGGTGAGAGGAGAGCTGACCTTGAAGGAGAGCCTAGCATACGATACCCCAAAATCCAGCTCAAGAATGGAGGTGGAGGCGGTCAACTGCCACTTTCCGCAATTGTAACTAAAGCATGATGAGGAAGGTCAGGACAGGCATGCTTCGCTCAGAGTGGCATGCTTCGCTGCGGAGGTCACGGTTGAGTAAAATTTGATCTTTTCTCTAGGTGACGTTGGCGTGTTAAGAAATGAACAGGCGGACCGGCTGGCTGGCTCAGCACATCTTGGTGGAGTATTGATGCATGCTAAGGCAGACATGGTTAGGGCCGTGTGGGAGAATGTGTACAGTTTAGTGGAGCAAACGATTCACCACAGTCTGGTGAGACTGAGGCAGCAGGGAATGACGAGGAGTTCTTGCCGATGCTCGACACTCAGAGGATAGGCATGAGTGTCGTTTATTGACAACTCTACTGCCACCATTCGTACTGAAACTCTGCGCTCGCTGCTGAAGATGGGGACGGAGCGCTCATGCGATTGCCCCAAGTGCTGTGATGTCGATTCTTGAATCAACTCACTCAACTCTCACATACACGGAGACACAACATTTGAGTGCATGTTCAGCAGGACAGTATTAACGTATGTAAATATTGTATGTTTGTGCTTGCAGACATATCGGCGCTGTCCTTGTCCATTATTTTATTAAAGCTGGCAACGTATTCATAAACAAAACATGGCGCATACAAATATCTGTCTATCTAGATTCGGGGCTACATTTATATTTTGTTAACAAATTAGAGCGTTGATATAGTGCTTTTGCTGGAACATACAAATGTTGTCATTTATTTCGTGGTTTCGAGAATTCATTATTGTATGAATTATTTAACATTCACCTCCTCCTCCTTCCGTTCCATTCCTTCTTATCCCCTTCGGCCTTCTCCTTCAGCTTCCCAGGCCTGTCTGGTTCACTGCTGCGGACATCACCCCCTTCTATTCATCTCTGCGATTTTACAATATTCCAGGATGTTTCTCTAAGTGTTTGCAGTTCTGCCTGATCTAATCTGTCGCCTCATTGGTCTGATGTTAATTTACTTCCAGCCATATCTTCTTTGTAGCTAGTTTTAGAATCCTTGTTATCTATCATTATTTTTATGTTCCTCACCAATTGTAGCCTCAGTAATTCAAATAATTAATAATGTTTGCAAAGGATAATGAATTTCCTTACATTAAACGTTCACATTTTTTAAAGCTGATTTTCAAATCCAATGTTTTTTTTTTCTTTCTTCTTTTTTTTTTTATTTTCTACATCATCTCCTTGTCTAGGAATCTTTTCCACCTGCTTTGTATCCGTGTATTCTCATGTAAATAATCGCACTTAGGTTAGTTGGTATTCATTCTGACCAGGTTGTTCAACGCTATTGTTTGTTTGAATTTTGATAAAATGGTTAGCTGAAATTACCTTACAGTTTATCTCAATTTTTTTTTATGTCTCGCCTTACATAGTTTTTTAACGTATAATTGCTTGCTAACTGTTTAAAATTCGAACTAAAATTTTAGAGATTGGATATACAAAAGGATAGGTCGTACTTCAACGAAATAAAAACAATAAAGTAGTTTATAAAATTAATATTGAAAAGCTAGTTGCTAAAAGAAATAATAACAATAAACATAAAATATATAAACAACGCTGTATGTTAAATTAGGAATCGTCATCACTGCACTAAGGGCACTCCCATAAGCGTTCCGTCCCCATCTTTAGCAGCCAGCAAAGAGTTCCAGTTCCGATGGCACCAGTAACTGTGTTTTTTTTTTTTTTTTCTCTTTATCCGTCTCACCTTTGCTAAGGTTGAGGGTGGTGTGTTAAACTTCTAATTTTGCAGCACCAGCTGGTCAATCTCTGCACTCACGGACTTGAGTGATTAGAACCCTACAAAAGTCTCATTCTTGCTCGAACACTTGTGCCCTCTCATCTCCTCGCCTAAATATATCAAGCCTGAACACCTGTCTAATTGTGTTTTCAGACTGCACTATCCAAGATCTTTTTCTTTTCAGTCGCTGATCCTTATCTCTACCCAGGTCTTCATGAAGGAGGTGCTTCTTGCCTGCAGATACTCTGAGATATGCCGAACTTTAACCCTGTCTTGAATAGTAGGCAGTACAAGTATATATCGCATACATACTACATTTACAATTTGGTGATGTAATATATGAACACT